GACAGCCGGGCCAGGCCGGGCTGCGGGAAGCGGCAGGGCCTGTTCTCCCGGCTGACGTGACGGGTTCGGAGGCCGGGGCCTGAGGGCGCGCGTCGGCGCTGCGGATCGCCCCCGGGGCGCGGGGCTCCGGGGCTGGGAGGCGTTCAGCTGGGAGCTGGGATCGGTTCGGCCCCTGCCCTGGGAAGGGGTTGACGTGCTTCTCTTACAGGAGTGTTCAGGCAGGGAAGGACGGGGCCCTGTGTGCCGCTCTGCATCCGGCTTGCTGTCCGAAGCCGGGTGTGGGGACAGAAGGGCCAGGCTGCTTTGCAGGCTGTGCCATTGCTTTCTGCCTCGGCTGGGTCGGGAGGCGGGGAGTTCTGGTTCGCTGCTGCAGTGAGGGCAAGTGAAAGGGCTTGGCACAAATATTGGCGGTGCTGATGGCAAGAACAGGAGATGGAAGGTGGCTGGGAGGGCTAGTTCTGCAGCCTCCCTCATGGATGTGCTCTAGCAAATGAGTTCAGGTGGGCTTTGATAAAATTTTCTCTCCAAAGGAAATTTTATTGCTGGTGAAATGAGCCAGGTTGACATCCCTTGATATTTATAGGATGGGGGACTGAAGTGCCCCCAGGCCCTGCGCTTTGGGCAGTGGAGTCGGGCGGGGCAGGGGCAGTGTGGAGCTGGGCAGCGTGGCAGATCGGTGTCCAGCGGCTTGCTTCCCCCCCCTCTCCCTCCCCCCCCACAACTGCAAATGGTGGTGGCAGCTTCTTTGGTCTGGGGCTCATGGGATCGGAGCGGGGATGGGGCCCTGCATGGGCTGATTTGCCCCAGGCCCTGCACCTTGCTCGGGTCAACTCTGGGTGCACCTCTACTTAAATGTAATTTGTTTCAGGAAAACTCAACCCAGATTCCCCATGGATACAACATGGCTCACAATTTAATTACCTACTCTTCCTCTAGGTTTCTGAATATGCTATGAGGCACTGAGTTCTCCTCCCCATCCTTGCCCCCTCAGTATATTCAAACCGTGGCTCTTTTTGTTTGTGCTTTACCACAGCTGTTTATAGCCCTCTTGATGAGCTGCAGTCAGTTTCAAAGTGTGTAAAGTTTGCTTCACTGGTTGTGGTTTCCTCTTCTCATTTTAGCTTGCACTTCCTGTTTAAAGATAGCAGTAGCTTTGGGGCAGTATGAGAAATGCCCCTCAACTCCCTTACTCGGGATCCATAACCTTTTTGCCACTTGAGAGATCTCATGGTTAACCTGGTCGCTCACTGAGTCAGGAAAGTTTAAGGTCACAGGGGCAGAGAGAAACAAGAAATGCCAGCAGGATCATCTTCTGAATAGGGTGGGCTGTTCCTTTCCTGATGTACCAGTAGCTCTTGGTTTGCTGCTATCATCAACCTGCTTTGCTTATCTATACCTTCCCACTGTGGCAATAGCATGCATCTCTTCTGTATGTGGTGAGAGACTGACAAGTGACCAGTATGCAGCTGTGACAGGAAGAGGAAGGAGATAGTTACTGGAAGTGAACCAGGAGAGAGTTTTCCTCTTTAGAAACAGCATCTATTTGCCAGCAAATGTTCACTCAGATTTTTTGCAGGGTGAATTGATTTAAATCAAGTAGATTTGAATCATGATTTAAATCAGGAAGCCAGCAGCCCCCCAATGATCAATTTAAATAATTGATTTTTATCAACTTTCCCATTGTATATTTTTTGTTTTTTAAAAGAGAGGACTATTTTCATTAGTTGATATAAAAATTAAAACATTAATTTTTACAACTAAATACAATTTGTATAGTAGATTTGGTATGTGATTCCTAGGTATACAAGCTGGGCGCCTATATAATATATATGTGTGTGTGTGTGTGTGTGTGTGTGTGTGTGTGTGTGTGTGTGTGTGTGTGTATATATATGTATAAAAGGAATAAGAATATATAGTGTAACCTATTTGGATTGTTAGAAGTCTTACGTTTAGTTCTGTATAAAATGGTGAAAAATAATTCTTATTCACTAGATGATAAACTTTTTGTGCGTATTCCTATCAAGCTGCATTAAGATGGCAACTTGAATGTAATTAAATGCACAAACCAGCACTTCAAATATAATAAACAAAACTTTAATATTTTGGATACATCAACTTTTCTTTAAAATCAAAACATGTATGTTTACAACTGACTAATTTAGTAAACACTGGTATTAACTGTTATACTATTAGAAGGGTAAATGGTCATTAGTAAATTAAACCTTTTTTTTTTTTCCAGATCATCCTGGGGAAAATGTTCTGAAATGCCAAGGTGAAAGCTATTTGAGCGTAAGTTCCTACTTTTCTAATTCTCTTTTCTAAAAAATATGAGACTCTAGGCTGTTCTGAAAGTTTTTATTTATTTATTTTTTTTAAGTTTTTAGAACTCACAAGTCTCATCCTCCTCCCCTTTTTATTCATGGACTGGAAGAGAAAAACAAGCTTTTTGGTTTTTTCAACTGAGAATCAGTTTCTTCACTTGGAGTGAACTAGTCCAAAGGAATAAAATATTTTTTCTGCACCTGTAGACTCTGATAAAAGTTTGTTTAGCATTTCAACAAGCTCTGGTTCTAGGTGCTTTGCTAGTGACTTTCAGCAGTTCAAGTGGTGTGACTTTCTTTAAAACATCCTCACCAAGTGTGTAATGTTTCAGTGGTTTGCTGCTAGCCCTGAAATTGATTACTATTGGTGTGATTGATGGGTGATTAGTAGATGCTCATGTTTTAGCATTTTCCTCTTTGGGAGTTAGGCTTCTACCTTGGTACTTTGTGTTAAGAATATTGGCAAGAAAATTAGATGGAATAAGTGCTTGGTCCATCCATTTCTCTACTGCTTGCAGTTTAACTTTGTTGTCGAGTATTTCATGCTTTACTGCTTCTTGAAGTTCTTTCCACATGTCAACAGCATCCACAGTACAGCAGCAATCTTTCTGTAGTTTGTTCAAGGCTGCTGAGAGAGGTTTTAGTGTACTTGCATTTATTTTCAGTCCAATATTTACTACTTTAGCTGTGATACATCTGTCAATTTTGTCACAATTTTCCTTGCAAATGGTCATCAGAATGGGCCAGTTCTTAATAAATAGCTCAAAACCAGTTAACCAATGAATTCCATTGTACATCTTTGGGGAGAATTAGCTTGGATACCCCAGCTGTCTTCAGTGAAGTTGAAGAGTTGTTACTGAAATTTTTTGCAATTTCAACATTTTCTTTTATTCCTGGAGTACTTACAGATTTGACTGAAAGATGCAACAAATGAGCACTGCACCCATATGTTATAAGTTTCAAGTTTGCTACATTATCTTTTGATTTTTTTTGTTATTTTTGCTATGTTTGCAGAGTTATCTGTGACAAGGGCACGCATGTGACACTTGAATTTTTGCTCAGTTGCAGCTTTTACTGCTATTTCTTTTAAACATTCTGCAGTAAGGGCATTTCCTGATATATTAGTCATTGATATACATTGGTCCAATATCGGATTGGTACTGATATAAAGAAAATTGGCTGTATTGGAAATTAGCCTGAAGTGACCGATAATTTGGCTGATAAATACCAGCTGCATGTTGCCAGGCTGTGCTCCTCACTACCTGCGTGCTGTGCTGTGCTGTGACTGCACGCACGCACAGGCAAGTCTGTTGTGGTAGAAGGGGGGGAAGGGGCTGGTGGGGGCAGATGAATGCCCCCTGTGATGTGGGAGGGAGGGGGCAGAGACAGGCGCTGCCCAGATGGTGTGGGGCCGGTGTGGGACGAAGCCGTGGCTTGGGAGAGGTGAGGAGGGGCTGCTGTCCACCCCTGTGTGCACCCTGGGAGGGTATGGGGGAGGGGGGGGGAATGTGCCCCCAGATCTGCCTGGGGCAAGGGGTGGACAGGCTGCAGCTGCAACTGCAGGCTGGAGCCGGGGCTGCCTTGGACTCTTTTCAGCTGGGGCTGGGCTCGGGACAGGCAGGGGTGGCGCTGGGGGGGGGGGTACGAGGGGGCTGCAGTCACCTCAGATTTTGCTGTAGCCCCACTCCCAGTGCTGCCACTGCCTGCCTGGTGCAGCCCTGGCTCTTCCCTCCCTCTCCCCTTCCACCCCAACAGACTTACCAGCTGCATGGATGGGTATCAGTCAATAGGCCACCTTAAATATCAGCTATCCGTATCGCCCCCCAAAATCTCTAGTGGTGCACCCCTACTGTCTTCTGTTGTCACCAAAGCACATATTATTTAAGCATTGTGTACGTTGCTCCATCCAACATAAGGAAGAAATTCTTTACGGTAAGGGTTACCAAAATATGGAATGGGCTTCCAAGGGAGGTGGTACTTTTTCCTACCTTGGAGGTGTTCAAGAAGAGATTAGACAGGCATCTGGCTGGGGTTACTTAATCCCAGCACTCTTTCCTGCCTGGAGCACGGTATCGGACCCGATGATCTACCAGGTCCCTTCTGACCCTAGAAATCTATTAAATCTATGAAATCCATTAAGACTCAGATTAACACTTTTCCTTCAGTGTTTTTTGCGTGCTGTTCCATTTCCTTCTTGGACACTATATCTAGAAGCCTTCCAGCAATATCTGTTCTGCTGGGTGGAGTGGAACCTATGTGTAATGATTGAACCATGCCAGTGCAGTGTTTGTTCTGAACAAGGCAAAAGAGAATGTTGTATAAATGAACCCAGTAATCTTCTCATCTGTGTTATCCTCATAGGCGACTGGTCGGGGGGGAGGAGGCCCTGAGATTTGGCTGCTGGCAGCTTCTATGGGCGGTTGCCACTTGTTACTCTGCCACCAATGCTGCCGCCCATAAACTGCCCCCCCAGTTTCAGGAAACAGCAGTCACCCATGGTTGTCCTGCTGTAATTTGTAGGGGTGCGCAAATAAAGATTTTCTTGTCAGATACCGGTAGCCGGTTATTAACTATCCATATCATCTGATACTGATCCGATAGCCAATTTACAGGAATGCAGCCTGGCAGCTTGGAGAGCAATGCCCTGCTAGTAAGTTTTGGAGAGGGGTGGAGAAAGGGCATGGGGGGTGCAGATTAAGGCCTCCACAATGAGGGAGGGAGTGGGACTGGGGCAGGTGCTGCCCAGCCAGGGTGTTGAATTGGACTCTGGGGCCGGGAACGAGACAGAGTTGCAGGCAGCTTGTTAAGGGGTGTGGGAGGGTAGGGTGGCTCCCCGCTGCTGTGCAAACCCTCAGAGGAGGCATGTTCCCCGCCAGATTTTGTGGGTGGGGTGAGGTCAGGCTGCCCACTGTGGGCTCGGGGCCGGGGCTGTGCCAGCCTCTTCCCAATGCAGGGGAAGGAAGGAAGGGAGGGGCTGGCTTGGGTCTGTGAGTGGGGTGGGCTCTGCTGTGTTGGGCAGGCAGCAGTGGTGCTGGGAGGGGTGGTTATGGGGTCTACAGGGAATTTTGGGATGGCTATAGCTCCCCAAGAACCCTTGTATTGCCACCCCTGCTTGGGGCACTCCGCTCTACTGCTGCTCCCTCAGGAGCTCCCCAGTGCGGGGCGGGCAGGGGCCACGTGGCCAGTGCAGGGCTAGGGCTGCCGAGGGAAAGGCAGCAAAGCAGAGTGCCCCAAGCAGGGGTGATGTTGCAGGAAGGCTTGGGGACTATAGCCACTCCAAAACTCCCCATAGGCCCCCCGTATCCACTCCTCCCAGCACTGCTGCCTGCCCCATGCATCAGAGCCTGCTCCACTCCCAGCCCCCTGCTGGGAAGAGGCCTCTGGTCCCGAGCCCACAGCGGACAGCTTACTCTCACCCCATGCACAAATCTGGGGGGCACATGACCCCCATGCCTCTCCTGGGGGGGTGTGCAGTGGTGGAGAGCCTTCCCCCCTGCACCCCTCTGGAACAGCTGCTCGTGGCTGTGTTCCGCTCCCTGTTCCAGGTTCGCATTTACTGCCCTGGCTGAGCAGCCCCTCCCCCTCTCCCTCCCTCACTGTGGGAGCCTTGATTAGCACCTCCCTGCCCCCCCACCCACAGACTTACTGGCAGGGCGCTGTTCTCTAAGCTGCTGGGATGTGTTTCTCACCGCATGCATGCTGCAGCTCTGCACATGTACATGGCATTTATCGGTGACACTATCGGCTACACCAACCAAAAATAGCCAGTAATGTTAATTTTCCTTTTGTTGGTGCTGATCCGATATGCTGCCAATATATCGGTGTACCTCTAGTAATTTGCTAGTCCTGATTATGAACTCCTCCATAGTTTTATTTAATAACGAGGAAAGTCTCTTTTCTGTATACAGATAATTCACTGCCGGAGGTATGTTTAGTTGCGGTATTTCTGTGATACTAGTAGATAATTCTGAAGCTGCAGACAGTGCAGATGATGGACATGAATAATTTCTTACATCTAAGTTGGACCCTGAAACAATGGTTAAAAAGTTACTCAAACTGTGTATTTCTCATGTTTTACTTAAAAATAAATGAGATTTATAAAATAAAGATCCTTCCTACAGCAGGTGTTTTCTAACCAGTGTTTAACTGACATAATTTTTCCAAACCCAGTTCTATAGGGAAAATATTTAATCAGTCATAAAAGTTATCATCTTCTATTTAAAGCCTTTTCTTTATCAATATAAAAGAGCTGGAAAAATTTACATTTTTAGTTTAAAACTTTTATAAATTTCTGTTAAAATGTTATTCTGCACAGGAGATTTTTGCTTAGGGCTTGTATGTCTGCTCACACCGAGCAATAAAACTTACTTCAAAAGTGCAGTGGTAATATTAAAAATGTGTAATTGACAAGTACTCCCACAAACCAGCATTTCACTGATATGTTGAACCATAAACATTTTGAAATTCATAAATAACCCAATTAATAGCTAATATTATTGTCATAAATTTATCATTTCCTAGCCTTGCAATATATGGTAAGCAATTGATAAGAACGGTTCAAAAATAGTTTACTAACCAGTTGATCCAGATGGCTCAGACATCAGCATCGTCATCTTCAAGTTCATTGCCTTCTGAGAAGCATTTTTCATAAAGTTGCTTCATTTCACTTGTGTGCTGTCATCCCATTCCTGCT